GGTCATCTGTGAGTCTGTGACCTAAAGTGAGAAGCCTAAACTCAGTAACTGTGCTCAGGCTTACCCCTCTCCCTGTGAGTAGCCTGTTTGAAGTCACTGAAAAGCACAGATCAGACAACAGGACTCAATCTCATAATGATCTGTAAGTTAGAACTGGACTCAATTTTCTTATAGCCTGTTTGTCTATAAAACCATTGAAGGTTTTGAAGCTGTTCAGTCATGACTGCAATCTGGCACCTAGTTATAGGAGCTTCTAGCATTTATATTTTCAGTTCTTTATGCATACCACTTCTAGTTTCAAATATCCTTCTTAGGTTCCCCCCAATTCTAGTTCCACAAAAGAAATAGTGTTCTAATGATAGGAGTTTTCCAACTATAGCACAGATTGTTCACAAAGCAGGGAATCCCCTATTCCAGAAGGTCCCATCACAGACATTTGCCTGCCCTAGCTGGAGCAGGAGTGATGTCTATGATGGCAGATAAGATGGACTATTGTTAGCTGCTCTGAGTTAGCTGCTTGCCTGGTCTTATGGCAACGCAACACACTAAAACTGACCACCACACTGCCCACCCTACTGTAATCCCCATGACAATTTGTAGGTTGGATCAACAGTGGACTATGAGAGTGTAAAACCAAACCAGCTGTCATTGGATTGAGTCGACCTAATGGTGACCCCATGTCACAGAGTAGAATTGTGATCTGAAGGGCTTTTGTGGTTGCAGCCTTTCAGAAGCAGGCAGTAAAATTCTTTTCCCAAGAATCTCTAAGTGGATTTGAACTGCCAACCCTTTAGTTGGTAGTTGAGTGCTTAGTTGACTGTGCCACCCTAGCACCCCAGAAGAAAATGAAAATTCTTTCTAATATCATTATCTCATTTTAAAATATAAGTGTTGAAAAAATAAGAACAAGATTAAGAAAATGTTTAGGAGAGAAAATTTGCACATGTATGCTTGCTAAAGTTTATCTGTGGCTAATGAATATTGATTTTGACTTCACGCTAGTACTGGTTTAAGTGCATTATGTTCTTTCATAAACTCTATTATGATAAGAAGCACCATCAGACATGCTACTGGGATTTTATTATTTTCATAACCATTCACAATATCTTAGCCATTTAGTGGGACCGTGGTGGCACAAGTGATTTTCTGTATTTGTGATCTTTCATATATGGATCCCCACATGGTCTAGACAGCTCTGCATGTAATGGAATCTCATTCGCTTTTGACTAGGAAGAAGCCTTAAGTAGAGAGGGCAAAAATAAGACTGCAATAGCTTATCTTCCAGATCACTACTGAGGACATATCATGGCTAGAAATCATTATAGGAGGTGAATTTTTGTTTTACTTGTGAGAATGGCAGCCAAGACTCAATCAAGGCTTGTGCTTTAATATTCACAAATTATGGTTCCTCCAAATGTCTTGCTGTAAGAATTGTCTTCCAATGAAAAGGAACTTTTATTTTAAAATAAGTTTTGAGCTGTAGTTTTAATTTCAAAGTGAAGAGTTGGGTTATGATTCACCAAGCTTTTTATAGGTCTCCTTTTATAGCAGACATTGCATATGTGTGTATGTGTTTGTGTGTGTGTGTGTGTGAGAGAGAGAGAGAGAGGGGAGACATACAAGACAGACAAAAACACAGGCAGAGAGAAAGAGAAAGAAAGAAAGAAATAGAGAGAAAAAGAGATGAGGTGGGGAGACAGAGAGAATAAGGTCCCATTTCTTAAAACTGAGGAAGACTTTGATGATAAAAATCATCACGCTGACCTCATCAGAGGACTTTACAGCCATTTTTCTGATTCTTTTGATTTGATGCTCTTCAGATTCATAATTTGAAAACTAAAATTAACTGAATGGAATGAATAAAAGAGATGTAAACTTGGGGAAATTTAAAAAGTGCAACTCACCCCAAAGCCTCTTACGAGGATTGCAATCAGTGGCTCCATTCAAACAGTTTTCTCCTTCAACAATGATGAGTCATCATGTGGCTGAAAAAGTTCTGTCCTCTCTCTGCCCCTGCATAGCTGAATGACTTAAGACAAGTGTCAAATCTGATTTGCAGTTTTGGGGTTTAAAAAGAAATCTAAATGTATTTTATAATTTCCCTTTTGGTTCCTAGAAAAAACGAATTTGGTATCTGGATTGGGATTGCATGGAACCTGTAGATTGCTTTTGGTAAGATGGTCATTATCACAATATTGAATCTTCCTATCCATGAACAGGGCACATTTTCCCTTTTCTTTAGGTTTTTATTGTGTCTTGCAGAAATGCTCTGTAGTTTTCTTTGTATAGGTCTTTTGTATCTCTAGTTAGATTCACTTCCAAGTATCTCAATTTGTTGGATATTTATCTTATAGTCTACCTCTCTACTACACTGGCCTGTTAACTCAGAAAGGCAAGAGATCCTGAATAAGTAAAATACTTCCGTGAAACAAAAATGAAGTGGGAGGCATAGCATTCCTTGACCTCAAAAACCTACTACAAGTGATATTAACCAAAACAGCAAAGTACTGGTATAATGATAGGCACATAGACCAATGGAACAGAATTGAGAACCCAAATATAGACCCAGCTATTTATGGTCAACTGATATTTGACAAGGAAATAACACCTATCAAATGGGCAAATGACAAACTCTTCAACAAATGGTGCTGGCAAACTCTTCAACAAATGGTGCTGGCAAAACTGGACTTGTCCCTCAGAAAGCTGAAACAGGATTCACATCTAACACCATACACAAAAATCAACTCAAGGTTGATAAGAGACATAGGAGTAAAACCCCAAACCTAAATTTCATAAGAGACCAACTGAGATTAAGCCTAATGTACATAGGGTCGCTATGAGTCGCAGGCGACTCGACGGCACATAACAACAACAACAACAACAACAATCTACTATATAAAGGGACTGATTAACACAGCCAGAAATACATAATCTGAAAGATTAAAATTGATGAATGGACCTTATAAAGATTAAATTCCTGTGCACATCAAAAACTTTCCCTAACAGGGTGAAAAGAAAATCTATTGACTGGGAACAAACATTTGTCAATACCAGGTAAGACAAGAGTCTCATAATGAAAGTTTACAGAATACTCCTGAACCTCCACATAAAAAAGACTGATAACCCAATTACAAAATAGGCCAAAAACATGGAAAGAATTTTCACAGAGGAAGATGTATGAACGGCCAACAGACAGATAAAGAAATGCTCAAAGTCACTGGCAATAAGAGAGATGCAAATGAAAACCATAATGAGATACATCTCACTCCAATAGCAGTGGCAAAGTTTAACAGGACAGCAAGTAATAAATGTTGGAGAGGATGTAGTGAGATAGGAACTCTTATACATTGTTGGTGGGATTGTACAATGGTACAATCACTCTGGAAGGCAGTTTGGCGCTTCCTCAAAAAGTTGATCATAGAAATTCCTTATGACCCAGCTATTCCACTGCTTGGAAAATACCCTGAGAAAAAGAACTGAGACACAAATAGACACTTGCACACCAATGTTCATAGAAGCATTATTCACCATAGCAAGAACATGGAAACAGCCCAGATGTCCAACCACAATTGAATAGATGGAGAAATTATGGTACATTCACACAATAGAATACTATGCAGCACGCAGGAACAATGATTTTATAAATTATTACTTAACTTGGGAAGGACTGGAGAGCATTATGTAGAGTGAACTAACTTAGTTTCACAAGGACAAATACTGTATAAAACCATTATTTTAGAATTATTATGAAGATCCAAGGAGGGGGTGGAAGCAAAGAGGTGAGAATGTGAAGAGAGTCTAAATTAATCATGAGTTTATACAATTTGATGGGTGGGGGTGGTGAGGGAAATGAGGAGGATCTGGTGTGGAAAATAAGGTATTCAAATTTTGTAAATAAACTAGTAGTAAAAAATCTCCATGAGGATACTAGTATTTCACAGAGATTTTGTGAGGATTAAATGAAATGACAATGCCAGCTTTTAGTAATATGTGAAACTTTCACATTCTACACTAGTGTTAGACCTCATCACTTTCTGGAAAATTGTTCCATTTCTATATGTCTTTCTATATCTATTCTTTTCTTTTGCTATTAGTGTTCCAGAGTCCTTAGAGAGTACAAATAGCTAATGTGTTCAGCTATTACCCAATGACTGGTGGTCTGAATCTTCTTAGAGGCACTTCAAAAGAAAGAGCTGGAAATCTACTTCTGAGAAGTCAGCCACTCTATTAAGCATAGCTTTGTTGTAACATAAATAAATGGCCATGAGCTAAGATGGTGAGGCTATAACCGGTTTTGTATTAGTATTCCAGAGGTAGTAAGACTTCTTTTCCATCTTCTCCTTTTTTGATGCCCATGGATATATTCCTAAATATCCACACCCATAGTTTCACCACTGTTTATTTCCCAAGAAGTGAATAAATAAGGTGACATGGTCACTTCCAGGTTGTATAGGAAAAATAGGAGGGAGCTGAAAGGCAACTGAGAAGAGTCTGAAGAGATGTTGGTGTTGGAATCAGAAGATGGGAAAATCTGGGGATGGAAAGGCTTGACTGATTGGAGCAGAATGAAGAAATGGTATGACTGTTCAGAGCAGGAGCCACACTCAGAGCTCTCATCCTCCCTCATTCATCAAAATGAAATGACATTGTTATCAAGAGTCTCATGTCTGAGAATATGAGCCCCAACTAAATCATAAAAGATTCATTTCAACGTCACTGTGGAAATAGAAGGTCTTTTCTGCCTTCAAATACATCACTTATTGGAATAGCTCAAAAACCAAAACCAAACCCCCTGTCGTCTAGTCAATTCTGAAAAAGAACACCAAAGCATGGGGTTTCCAAAGTTGTAAATCTTTATGGGAGGACACTGCCTAGCTTTCTCCTACAGTGGTTTCTAACCACCAACTTTTCAGTTACATTACACAGTATGCCCTCAGGACTTTTAAAAATTTGCATATATAATCCATTGAATTTTCAGTTGACATTAAAAAAAAGCTTACCTTCCAGAAAACAGAAATTTGTTGTCCATTGTTGTCAAAGTGCTTCTTCATATACCAGACATCCAAAATTCCAATAGGCTCTGTGTTGAAGAGGAAATCATGCTTTATAGTGTGGCTATACAAATACAGACTTAAAAATGTGATTGATTTTCCAATATATATGATTCTGAGAAAGTAAGTTTATGGGATAATCTGGGTTTTCTGAGTGTTCTAGTGTTTTCCTTTAAAAAAAAATGAAAACCAATAAAAGGATATAACAGAATAGGCATGTCTATTTTTGCTTGGAAAACTCAGAAAAAATCAAGGTTACTTTTAAAACAAAATTTAGAAAAATGTGACATGTATTGATAAAATAGCTTAAAGAAAAGCTATATGATTATTTCTATGTTATTGAACTGGAGAAATAATTCTCAACAGCAATGTAGAAACGTAAATAATAAAAAAATTGATTTTGAAAAAAATTAGAGTTTTGTGTGCTTAAACCAAAATTCTTTAAAAAATGTAAGATACAGCTTTTAAATTGTAGGTTAATCTAATGAATCAACTATCTTGCATATAAGCATTTAACTTTATTCTCATTAGACAATGAGCTATTTGAAGGCAAGACCTATCCCATTTGTCTTAATAATTTACATAATTGTTAGCATAACACTTGGAATTTATTATTAGAAACTCCATTTACTTGAGTTTAATGTTTGTTAAATGAAGAACAAATCGGGCAATGTTATCTACTTGCTGCCAAAATACAGCCTGAATGGAAAGAAGAAAGGACCAGGAAACACAAATTATCCAATATGTTGTTGTGATGTGCTGTAGAGTCATCTGCGACCCACAGCAACCCCAGGCACAGCAGCTCTGATGTCTGCCCTGTCCTGAGCCAGTCTCACTAATTCTGGCATTCCTACCCACATTGCTTCAGTCACTGTATCAATTCATCTTATCTGGGGTCTTCCTCTCCTGCACTGTCCCTCCACCCTTCCAATCCTGATTTCCTTCTCCAAGGATCAGAGGTCAACTTATAG